CTACAAGCACAAAGGTAAGCCAAGATTGTCTATGGGGAGCAAAATTAACTCCAGGGAAAATTTGATTTCTTCCAACTTGGTATTAGTGGAAAGATGTTGTTGGAGAAGCTAGAAGAGTTATACAGTCAGCAATGTGATTGACTTGCTGATGATAAAACGTACAAAGTGGTTACTGACTTTATTTGCACTATGACTTGGCAGTACAAATGTCAGTGGGAAGTGCTAATATAGTCACTTTAGTGCTACTGATCAAAAGGAGAACAGGTTCTGTGCATGTGTGCGAGTTCGTGTGTGTACAGATACATGTGTGTCTACAGGCACGCGCGCGCGCACACACACACACACACACACACATATGAGTATGGGGGGAAGACACCTCTGGTGCCATTCTTCAGGTGCTGTCCCTTTCTTCCGTACTTTGAGACTGGATCTCACTGAAACCTGGACCTTGCTGTTTAAGCTATGCTGTCTAGCCAGTAAGGCCCAGGGACCAGTTTTGTCTCAGCTTCCCCAGCTCGCTGTGTGTCACAATGCCCAGCTTTTATTTGTGGATTCTGGGAATTGCATCCAGGTTCTCTTCTCACATTTGTGCAAGAAGGCAAACACTTTACCAAGGGAGGCTCTTCAGAGAAACTGAGTTCTTGATCAGTAGAGTATGTGACAATGTGGCAGAAAACAGGAACAAAATCCTAGGCTTCCTGTCCATGTTGTTGGTCTGGGCCATTCTTGCCTGGTGAAAAAATGTTGGTTTGGGATAGACTTCAAAAGACCAGAAGCCATGGGAGAGTGGCTTCTGTGTGTCAAAAGGGATGACACATCCTAAAACTGAATCACTTAGGGCTATAGAGGTGGCTTATCAGTTAAGAGCCTGTGCTCTTCCAGGGGGCTATGCTTCAGTCTCCAGTACCCATGTTGGTCAGGTCACAACTCTTGCTCCAAGAGATTCACTTTCTTTTTCTGGACTCTGAGAATACTGTACACACACACACACACACACACACACACACACACACACACACGCACACTCATTCATACACACAAAACACACATGCGTAACTTAAAAATGTAAAACATAAAAACATCATTCACCTATGACATAATACAAGGGTATGTGTACATGTGTGTTTGAGAGAGAGATAAAAAGGAGAGAGAGAAATCACCCTCAATTTTGGTCATATAACCTGTGCCAAGTACATCTGCCTTCAGAATTAATTTTTCTCATTTGCATGTCGGTTGCATTTATTTCCAATTTTTTTGAGATGTCTCATGTAGCTGAAGATGGACTCAAGCCTCAAGAATGACCTTAAACTTGTGATGTTCTTGCCCCCTCTCCTGCATACTGGGATTACAAATCCTGTGCCAGGGAGTCAGGTTTATGCGTTGCTGGGGATACGAAGCAGTGTACACTAGGTTTGCACTCCACCACTGAGCTGTAGCCACAGCCCTGTTACGCTCATTATTGAGGAGAATTCTTTGTCTTTTTGAAGCAATTTTAGAGTCCTCTAAGAACCAGGAGACATGTATTTGGCAGAATGTGACCCGTGGACTCCCAGAAACCCCAGCATGACTTCCTGCTTGGTGAAATCCCTGGTGCACACCATCCAGGAGTAGCTCGTCTCTGTGTGCCTGGCAACCCACCTGCACTACAGTACAGGGATGTGTTTACCTCCTATTACTTGGATTTATGCAGCTAGTTTTTCGTGGCTGACCTAAAGGACCCTGCTTTCCTCTGTACTGTACCAGGCCCCCGAGGCACCATTAAAGAGACAAGACAAAGTGTTTCAAGAGCTATGCACAGGGCTGCAAAGGCTTCCTTTCCCCCTTCTGCTGTGGAATAAAGTGAGCACAGAGTTTTCAACAAGTAGGAGACAGCTGAGAAATCAAACGGTTTGAAAGAAAAAGGTATCTAGGTATACTGTGGCAGGAATCTGGGTTTATTCACCATCTGGCTCTTGCCTTCTTCCGTATTAAAGGACAGCCAGTTGTCCTTGACACCTACCTACAGCAAAGACCTATTTACCGGTTTTCATAGGTGTGGCTCTGTGTAAAGTCTTTGCAAGGAGATGTGTTATGACTCATGGAGGCTAGATGTCATCGTATAAGACAGCTGGGGCAAGTGGGATGGCAAATGGGTAACTGTCAAGCTGGTACCCACAATGTAGAAGGAGAGAATCTCTGACTTGCATATTCATGCCATAGTGTGCACAAACCCACACATGCAGACAGGCCATAAGTAAATACAAGCAATGGTTGTATTTTCTCTTTGCAGCTGGTAGACATGCTATCCTCTACAAACGATTCCTTCCTCCTCTTCTGATGGCTGGAATGTGACTACAGTGGCTGGAGCCAGAGTAGCTATTTTGGACCATTCATCACACAGGGGAGAGTGGGGCTCCATCTCATGGGAAAATGTGAGAAGTCAGAAAATATCAGCCCTGCACTGACTACCTGGAAACTTGTTTATGAGAAAGAAACAGGCTTTTAGCTTACGTCAGGCATCACTATTTTACAAATCTGTTCCTTACAAGAGAACCCAACTCTGAGTAGTGTACTTGAATGTCTTTATTTATACAATGCTGATATCATATGAAAAAGTTAAAAATTACTTGCTAAAGGAGAAGTAACAGATGTCTAGCAAAAAATGCCATCACGGTTTGTATGTGGTACAAATCTGAATAATATTCAAGAGTATCTGTGAGAACGGCAGACATCTGGCAAATTTCTTGTGTATTAAAGACAAGGTGGCACAGTGACTTTGTTCTTCCTAGTCGTATCTTCCAGGACATGCTGTGGAAGCTGGCAATTCTTTCAGGAAAGTTTATATTTTGCAGAAATTGTTAGAATAAACAAAATCTGAGCGTCAGTGAGAGATGGCTAAAATGGGAATTGCTGAACGACATGTACCAAATCTGTCAAATCTGGCCAACTGTGTATTTACTTCCTCTGACTGTGATGGGTAATACTGAATGTCCACTTGACAGGATCTAGGATCACCTATGAGACCTGCCTCTAGACAAGTCTGTGAGAGGGTTTCTAGACTGAGTGTACCGAGGTGGGAAGACTCTCCTGAAATGGGGGGGGGCGTTCCCTGGAGGAGAAAGTGAGCTGAGCACCATCACGTCTCTCTGCTTCCTGACTACAAGAGATGAGAGCAGCTATTCATGTTCCTGCTGTTATGACTTCTGCACCATGATGGGCTGAACACTTAAACTGGAAGCCACAACACACACTCTTCCCTCAAGCTTCTTTGGTCAAATATTCTGTCACAACATGATAAAGGTAACAGACTGTCCTGAGGTCAGTGTGTAGTCAGGCAGAGAGAGGATCAGAGCTTTTCTGTCGATTTTGTACTGATCCCAAATGACTCCCAAGAAACTGATCCCCTCCATGATCTTGAGGTGTTGTCTACATGCTCATTACACAGGAAAAGGATTCAAGGCTTTAATGAATTGGAACACTTTTCTGATTTCAAAGACCTTTGGTTGAGGCTTAGGCCATGTGGTGGTTTGAAAGAAAAAGGCCCCCTGAAGGGTGGGGCACTATTAGGAGATGTATCTATGTTGGAGTGGGTGTGGCCTCCTTGGAGAAAGTATGTCACTGTAGAGGCAGGCTTTGAGGTCTTATATATGCTCAAGTCATGCCCAGTGTCTCTGACCTCTTCCTGTTGACTGGGAGTCAAGATGCAGAACTCTCAGCTCCTTCTCCAGCACCATGTCTGTCTGCATGCTGCCATGCTTCCCGCCATAATGATAATGGACTAAACCTCTGAACTGGAAGCCAGCAACCACAATTAAATGGTTTCCTTTATAAGATTTGCCATGGTTATGGTGCCTCTTCACAGCAAAAGAAACCTTAACTAAGACAGGCCTCTTTCAATGCTGTCTTTAAGAAGGTCTTCTTATCTTAGGAACTCAAATGACCTACCAACTTCTTTAGTTTGCTTCAAAACATAAAGCAAAGGAGAGAGAGAGCATGAGCAAGGAACTCAGGACCATGAGGGGTGCACCCACCCACTGAGACAATGGGGATGTTCTATCGGGAACTCACCAAGGCCAGCTGGCCTGGGTCTGAAAAAGCCTGGGATAAAACTGGACTCGCTGAACATAGCGGACAATGAGGACTACTGAGAACTCAAGAACAATGGCAATGGGTTTTTGATCCTACTGCATGTACTGGCTTTGTGGGAGCCTAGGCAGTTTGGATGGAGGTGGGTGGTCCTTGGACTAGACCTGGATGGAGGTGGGTGGTCCTTGGACTTCCCACAGGGCAGAGAACCCTGACTGCTCTTTGGGCTGACGAGGGAGGGGGACTTGACAGGGGGGAGGGGGAGGGAAATGGGAGGCGGTGGCAGGGAGGAGACAGAAATCTTTAATAAATAATTAATAAAAAAAACATAAAGCAAAGTGTCTGCTATTCCTTTTGGGGCCTGGAAATCTTTCACTTTAAAATGTTTTTGTGTTCATCAGTTTTACTGTCAACTTGACCCAACCTAGAGTCATCCAGGAATAAGGTTTTAATGATGAACTGTTTAGATTAGAGTGGTCTGTGGGCATATCTATGGGGAGTTTCCTTGACTTCTATGTGATATGGGAAGTGCCAGTCTACTGTGGGTAGCACCATTCCCTAGACAGGGACCCAGAAGTAGAAGAGAAGACAAAGCTAGCCGAGAGCAAGGAGGAAAGGAGCTGTGCTTTTACTTCCTCTGCCCTTGACCGTGGGTATGAAACATCAGATTTTGCCTTGACTTCTTTGATTTTTTTTCTCAGATCATATATCATAGCAACAGAAATGAAACAAGGACAGTTTCCTTCTAATTTCCCAAGAGCTTAAATTATATGAATACATTAGCTTTTTGTTGATATTACTTCTCATGCAACGCACACGTTTGCAGTTCCAACTTAAGTAAACAGATAGCAAAGTATGACCACATCTTGGCAGACTTAGGAACAAACACTCCATACACAGAAGCACTTTGAAGTAAAAGGCAGAGGGCAGCTTACCTTTTGAGTGAGTAGAGCGCGGACGACTTGGTTGGCTACCTACAACAAGAGGAAGAAAGTTGGTGTCGGTTATAACAGACTTTCTACAAATGCAGGCTCATTTGTCAACAAATTTCCCACAGCTTCCAGCCTGCAATGAGTCCCGCGTATCCCTCTTCTCTCCACCGGTGAAAAAGCTCTCTTTTCAGAACAAGGATGTCCTTCTGGGAAATATTTTGCTCTATCCAAAGGTGACCTTGTGGTTAATTAAGATGGTTCAGCTGGGAAGGTAATTCACACCTTGATTTTCACGTTTCCATATTTGGGGAAATAACCTCCTTTCATATATAAACTACTCCATGAAAGCTAAACCGCAGAGCAGTGAGAGACACCGTCCTAATGATCTGCACTGTTCCCTATCTCACTGGTTTATCATCTCCTTTGGCTCTCCTTTCACTCCTTTCCCGTATGGTTCCTCTGTCTAAAATCAATGGCAACACAGAAAGGCAGACAGATGAGAACGGGGCAGTCCATTTCCTGCATGGCCCATGTCCCTCCTCTCTTCCCCTACTTTCTCCTTTCGTGTTTGCTTCTTGTAACAGAATCTGGTGATTGCGAACTTATTCCACAGCAGAAGGATCCCTGCTTTGACTCTAAGTCCTGGGTACATCCTAGCTCTTTTACTCCCATAGGCCAAAGTTCCAGCCAACAATATATAAGGAGACTATTTTTCTTGTATGTAATAGAGTCTTTAAGAAGAAGGGAGCCTGGATCACCATTCCTTTCTTCTGTATGGGGTCTGAAAGTGATGGCTGATAGAACTCAACTTTATGGCCCGTGGGGATATCTTCCAAGACCAAACAATAAAGTCACCTGCACATATGCTATGATGAGATTATGGAGTCAGTTTGGTATCCATAAGACGAACAAAGAAAATGTAATATATCTATACAATGGAAAATTATTTAGCCATAAAGAATGAAATCTTGTTGGTAGTAAAAACTAGATATAGGTGGAATCATCACGTTAAAAAAATAATTCAAACTCAGAAAAAATAGAAAATAGCATGTTTTCTCTCATGTGTAGAATCTATATTTTTAAGAAAGACATGAAACTGGACAGGAAGAGAAAGAGAACCAAAGGATGGAGCAAGGGAGACAAGACAGAGTAGCAGTGAGATAGCTATGGTCAAAATGTGTTCTGTGCATGGATGCAGATGTCAGTCATAACAACACCTACCACTTTGTATTCTCCATATATCCCAATTTAAAAAGTGACTGACAACAAGCACCACATATTAAGTCCATTTAGGTAGAGAAAGCACAGAATCAATCTTGCCAAGAGTTCCATTGTCTACTCCTGAACTTCCATTGAACCAGTGTACTATTGAATTTCTTGCAACATACAGCAACCATAATTTTCAGAATTGTATTATTACTGTTGAGGCAAGGTGCCTGATCTTGAACTCCCTATGTATCCAAGAATGACCTAGATGCTCCTCAACAGAAGAATGGATAAGAAAATGGGGTACATTTACACAACTACTCAGAGGTAAAAAATAATGGCATCTTGAAATTTGCAGGCAAATGAATGGATCTAGAAAAATCCATTAACACAGATCCAGAAAGACAAATATAATATGTACTCACTCATAATTTGCTTTTAGACATAAAGCAAAGAAAATCCAGCCTACAGGATACAACCCCAGAGAAACTAGACAACAATGAGGACCCTAAGAGAGACATACATGGATTCACACAGGAAGGAGTAAAAGGCAAGATCTCTTGAGTAAATTGGGAGCGTGGAGGTCATGGGAGAGGGGAGAAGGGGAGAAGGGAGGAAGGGAGGGGAGTGGACAAAAATGTATAGTTCAATAAAAACAATAAAACAAAGAAAGCAAAAAAGACATGTCACACAGTTCACATATGTTATCACTATGGTGATTCTCAGATTCAGCCAGAGATTGGGGTGCATGCTTTCATCTATTTTTGCTCTGGGTAACACATTTATTTGGGGGATGCTTGGTTCTGTGTGCCTGATTCTAATCATGGAATGCTTTGAGTGTCAATGTTTTCATAGGGCTTAGTTGTTTCTTGACTCAATATTGACAAAACAACGCATCCTTCATGACAGTTGGCTACCAGTAAATCTCAGAGAAAATTAAAGCATAAGCTAGCGTGGAGATTTGGGCAGGAGGCCATTTACTCCATGAGAAGTAAATAGTTAGAATCAAGACTACCCATAATTTATTAGTTTACAGCATATGTGTAAAGGGTACTTTGCCCGGTAAAACCTTTCCAAATTTACCTTGCTGATGTTAAATTAAAATGAAAAGTTTTTCATTGAAATCAATAATAGTCTTGGAGAAAATAGTATCTTTCAGAGCTCTGCATACATTTATATGTGTGGGGTTGGGTGTAGTTGCGAGGGTGTGCATGTACCACAATCATGGGGGTGAGAGACCACCATCAGGTGTTTTCCTTAATCGCTCTCCCTCTTAGATTTTGAATCAGGTTCTTTCACAAAAGCCATAGCGTTCTGATTTGTGCTAGACATTCTGACCAGGGGCCTGCCTCTCTCCACCCCAGCACTGTGCTAAAAAGCACACAGAAATGCACCTGCTGGTTTATGTTGGCTCTAGGGATCAAACTTAGGCTTCTGACTGAGACCTCTCCCAGCCCCAACTCTGGGGAGTTTTTAAACATTCATTCCCATTTATAAGTGGCTGAGAGTTTAAAGTCGAACAATACATCACCTCTTTTACTGTTGGCACATGAAGGAGAGTAGAAGGCTTGAGCTGTCTATGCAGGCAGAGTGGGAGAACAATATACGAAAGTTAATTCAGACCATAAATAATTTACTTAAAAAAACCCTCAGACTTGGATTTGATTTACATGCTCATAAAACTGCCGAATATCAATATTTTCCTTTCTTCCTCCAAACTGGTTCCTCTCTTAAGCCATTCTGTGTTAACAGTGGTCACATAAAATGGCTGTATCTATGATTTAATGGGGGACATAGAGTAATATCCTAACCGTAACAGCCCACGGGAGGAAAAACTCTGTATCTCTGCACTCCAGCTCCTAGCCCAGTGGGCATTCTGACTCTGTATTGCACAAGTTTCCCTCTGGCATGTTCTTTGGACAATTGTTTGTCCTATCTGAAAATTGGACGATATTTTTTGTAGCTGCTGACATGAAGGTGAAATAACCAGATGGACTCACGGGTGCTCTGTGGGAGGAAGGTATGAATGCTTCCCTCTTTTCTGTCAGTGGAAATGGCTTCTCGGGCTCCTTGCTGTGTTAACAGTCACCCCTCCCGGGTGTATCGCTGAGCTGGTGTTCGAGCTGGTACCTTCAGTCTCTGGTGGGCTCACATGATGCTGCCCAGGATAGGCCCCTACCCATAAGGCTCCAGTAATCTGCCCTCAGCTCTTGGGTTGCAGATAATCACATCCTGCCAGGCCCAGTTAATGAGAACAAATAACTTCCAGGGTACCTGGCAGCTTCCTCTCAGAAGACAGGCAGAAGAGCAGCTGGCCTGAGCCGGAGGGATCTGAGGCACAGACAGCAGAGCTGACAGCCCTTCTGCCTCTGGGTTGTGGGACAAACTTGCCCAGGTTTGCTGTGGAGACCTCCCAGCTCTGGGCCTAGTAGACAGTGCAGATCTGTTCTGCTCCTCCTCAGTGGGAATTCTGTCAGAAAACTGACGTTCCCACCCACATGGTGCCTTGATGCTCCCTCCCACAAAGCACCAAGTGAAGGCAAGGCTTCCTCTGTCTCTACCTCCCCAGCACGGGGACTGTGGATGCTTGCCATCCTGCCTAGCTTTTTTATTTGTTTGGTTTTTATGCCTTTGGTCCTTTTTCCTCTAGGCGCTTACCTTCCCAATATAGGCAGGTGAGATTGTTGACTTTTCTGTTATTGGACTCCAAACAAGTCCTCCCCTGGGCTGTCTGAGGGACCACAGTAGTGGGTTGAGCCAGTTCTTACTTAGTTGACAAGGTCACAGGGCTCCCCTGGGGAAGAGGGCTAGAAGCAGCAGACTAGTCCTTAGAGGAGGATGAAAAGTCACCACACCTAGGCTTCCCTCCTCTGCTTCCTGCTGCATGCCAGCCTTCCCTGCTCTTTTGGGGATTTCGTCTTACAAAGCAACTCTGATGTTGGCAAAGTAGCTACAATCTAGTCAAAAACGCGCATATTTGGAAATACTCTTTGGAGGGATTTCCCATCCTCTGGAACGTTGGTTACTATAAAGAGGCAGATGGGGACAAGAAGGAGAAGATTATTAGGATATGGTTACTAGAAAGGGTTGGGTCTAGGGCTGTGGAGATGGCTCAGTCACTTGTCTTGTAAAGATGAAGGCCTGAGTTCTCCCCTCAGATCCTGCTTCTACAAAGCCAGGCATGGGACTAGGGGGATGACCACACAGAGGTTACAGTAAAGCACCTGCTATACAAGTGTGAACACCAAGTGTGGAAACCCAGAAACCCATGTAAATGACAGGTGGGTATGGCGGCCCTTCTGTAATTCCAGCCTTAGAAGTAGAAGAGAAAGGATCCCCGGAGCAAGCTGGCTAGGCAGACCAGGCATGTTGGTTATCTATGGTTTTGATTGAGAGATTCTGACCCAATAAATAAGGAATAAGAAAAATTGAGGATGATTCCAACATCAACCTTGGGTTCATGCATGCACTCAAACCCATATGTATCTATGCATATGAAAAATCCACATACATATATACATATACACATCACACATGGAGATACATTAAAAATGGAGAGAAGAATCAAAGTGTAGTGGCATAGACTTAAATTCTTAGCACTGGGGAGGTGGAGACAGGGGCATACCTAGGATTGTCTGGCCAGCCAGCCCAGCCTACTTGGTGAGTTCTAAGCAGAGAAAGACCCTGTCCCAACAAACAATGTGAACAATACACCCGAGGAACAACACCTAAGGTTGACCATTGGCCTCCGCATGCATGTGAACACACATGTACTCCCACACACGTACATATATATAAACATACACTTCAGGCCCCAGATAGATTGTGTTGTTGAC